GAAAAACCAAACCAATTCATAACCGAACATGAAATTAGGTGATTGTTCGGTTTGGCTTTAAACCGTTAACGGTTTTCCGTTCCCTAGTATATTGATTCCATTATTATTTTTTTCTATAGTAGCTCTATATAGTTGTTGACATTCTGGTTAATTAGACTTTTGTTGTCACCATTACAATTATATTCTTCGTTTTTAGTTGTCACTCTATTTTACTTCATAGTGACTAATGAGAATCACATCATAGTATAACATCAATTGTTCTCTAAATAAGTTTAAAGATACGATATTACGATTATAGTGAATAAAAACTTTCCAAAGCTATAAACAAATTAATCATTAACACAATTATAAATACTCTCTTAGATCTTTTAGCTTCTCTAAATTGGAACTATATATTGTTGTTTCATTAACTAACCGTAATAGTTTTTTTTACATGTTATGAAAAAAATCAAAAAGATAAATAACATTTTTGGAAAAATCACTCGAGCACCAAAAAAAAAAGCCTATAGCTTCTATTAGTAATCATGCCAAACAACCAATATTTTGAACTGATTCTTATATGTAATGCAACTATGCACTATGCAACGAGGATGCCAGCAAACTTGCAAAGTGTATAACAATATTGAATTTGAAGATGAAAAACACCTAATAATAAAAGATACTAACAAAAGAGTTCAGCTTTTGCGGTTGACTTAGGCAAGAAATAGTGCTAAGACATAAAGAGAACACTATAAAGGGAATCCTATCCTCCAACCTCAATGAACACACCTTTTGATTATCTCTTTTTCACTATTGCTTCACCACATAAAGCTTTTCTTTCTTTCTTTCTAGTTTTTTGTTGATAAAGATAATTGGACAATTCTAGACCAAAATTAGTAGACTAATCCATAATCTACAACTGCTCTGCAAATTATAATAAGGGCGATAAGAAAAACCTGTCAAACTAAAACTGATGCCTTAAATTTACAAGACAAGTCATCACTATATCTTGCATCTAGATGTGCCTTAAATATCTATGCTCCAGTAAAAAGACCAGACATCGTAGATGTTATTAAGGTTGTCATCTGAGGGGTTCCCGTGGTATGGTATGTTTTTTCGGTTTAGAAAATTTATTTTTTCTAAATAAGTCTGTATTCATATAAGAAAAAGAAAATCAGATTTTAGAACTACTGTAATTATAGGTCTAAAGAATTATAAAGTTGTTCATTAACATATTAATGTACAAATCTTAAACAGATATTTGTCTCAATTCATTTTTGCTGCTTTCTTTAAGTTTCATTTGCGTTTGTTCACAACACCATCACTTTTAAATGATTTGTTATGTTACGCTACTCACGATGGTTTAGATATATGTGCAGTAGGAAGTTGGTTAATTAGTTCTGTAGATGAAGATTAATTTTTATCTTTTTAGTCAAATAGATGGTATTTATGAAGATTGATATCTTCCAAACTATGACGTTTACTTAAACATTGATATCTTATGAAGAGTGAGAATATGGAGGTCACTGTCTTGATGTTTTATTGTTCTTGACTTCTTGCATCGTTACGATGTACATAAAATTGCATGGCAAAAAGATTTGATAGGTTTTGTTTTTATACCCTCCTTTATAAAAAGCTGAAGTCTTTCAAATTTTCATGGCTTCCAGAAAAGATAGTGTTTTTGAAGAACAAATGATAATATAAAGGCAGTGGGAACAGAAAAAGGCCATTGATAAAAAGATGCTCGTTCTTCCAGTATCAGAAAAATATTCATCTTCACTAAGTATTTTATTTCATTTTCTTTACTTTTGGCTCAAACTTTTCTCTTTTGCCTACTTTTCTTTTTGCTGCCTTTAAAATTTTGAATATTGATTTATCCAAGTTAAGTTGGTAGCTGCAAACTATTAGGTACAACTCCATATAGCTGTCAATCATGTCCTTCTTGGGTGATACCAATTGCATTTTATCACAGTGATGGTGAAAGTTTCTATTGTAATAATCCAACAACTGTTCTAGGGGTAGGGAACACACAAGGGCCGAAGCTCCACAAGTGATCACCTCCTGAGGAGCTTAATGTTTCTCTACATACACATTTTATACTAGTTTGACGTATAATTAAACTGGTTTGATGGTGATTGTACTATTGCGACTGTTAACTGTTCTAGAAAATTTACATACACTTGTTGGAGTAATTGGTTTATGGACTTAAGGTTTAGCTTAATCTCACATATATAAGTATGCTTCTAATACTTTTTGCTAGAAGCTCACCCATATTTTATAAAGGGTTAAGCACAATTAAGAGTTAGAGATTCCTTGAAAAGATTCTGAAAAACAAAATTATATATTGTAATAGAAATGCTCAAATGAAGTCTTATAGTAAATGGTTTGTCATGCACAGACATTTTATAAAATTTAGACATTATATTATCCACTCATCACAAATAGTGATTTGTCATTCACAAGCATTATTTATAGAAATCGTACATACATATCATAACCACTGAAGGTGTGACTCCATCATAGTCCATATTCCACAATATCATATTGGTAACCTTATGATGGCACTTTATAACGTCCTCATGATCGTTTCCGTCCATAAATGATCTATACACATCACGTTTGACCTTTAACGCATTCATGATTAATCATTATTCATTAGGTACATAAATATACGAAAACTTAAATGAACCAACAAGATCTTATATTAAAATACAGTCATACGTTTATATGCAATTGGAAAATTAAGGATATATAGGTTTCTATTTAATAATGTAAAGTTGAAGTTAACGTAAAAATGGAGTCATCCGAGAATAGTGTTGAGAGGATTTTGCTAACGTTATGTGTGTTTGACCAGACAAGATTGACCGCTCGAGCCCTTCGGCTTACGTCCTTCAAAGCTTTTTTGTGTGGCCTTATTCGACAATCCTACAAAAACCAAAACACTTCGAAAGTCTCTCCGAGACACACACGACACTACTTGGATACACAAATTGACCTATTCGTGTTTTAAAATGTTATTACTAGCTTAAACTCTTTAATACAAACAAATAATCTCATTAATCGAGTTTGACAAAAGAACACGATTGCCCCAATGAGAATATTTTGTAAAGTCGTTTATATTATTTTTTTCATATTTTTCTTTATTTAATCTATACTATGTTATTATTTGAAGAACTCATAATTATACGTTGAACACACTATACATTGTAATATGTGGAAAATCTCAACTTTTTGGAAGAGAAGTATGATCACTCTCGTCGTGATAATCAATGAGCATGCATGATATAAGTTGATGTATTGTTTTAAACAATGCAGCAAACCCGTGGACGCATCATGAGTCGTTTTCATTTGTTTCATAAGAGCAACCATGGGTCCAACTTATGTTATCACAGCATTTTTGTTAGTGCCATCAAAAAACTTTGTACGGTGTGATTTGGGTAGGTGAGATTGCTTTTGAGTAGATATTTCACAAATGTTTGGTATTTCTCCCGTATCCAATACACAGAGAAGCGATATATATACAATCTTCCAAAGTACATCTGATTAATCGATGTATGAAAATTATTGTGTCCCGAGTTTATGTGGCTCATGATTGTTGTCTTCACATTTTGCCGATGATATTTATTACGACTATGCATAGTTTTGGACGCACCACAATATTGACTTTTATTGTATTCGCTACTTTGTTCGAGATAAAGTAACTTTTGTTGAACCATGTCACGTTCTTATCAAAGAGCAACTTGCACACATTTCTACCGATTAGTGGCTGGTTTCGAAATGTTTACTAAAAACGAAAAAAATTAGCCTTATTAATTTTTATAAAAAGGTCGTAGATGTAGGTATAGCTAGGTGGTTGTTAGCTTTATAACATATGTTTTGCCTTTTGCCATTTTACGTATATACTATTATGTTTTTAGTTTAAAACTCAAATATAAATTGTAAATTTACTACCTATAAGAAAACGGACGTACAATATCTATGTTAAGACATAACTTATTGACACAATTATTCATACCTTAAATATAGTGGCTGAAATATGATTTGTAAATTATTCGTTGTACACGGTTTATGTTCCTATTTATAAAATAATTTTTATCAGATTTTGAAAAGTTAAATGAGAAAATGACTTGTTACAAAAAAAAAATGAGAAAATGACTTCTACAACTTTAGAAAATATCTAGCAATAAGAAAACAATGAAAACACATTTTCTAATAAGAAATAAAAGAGGAGATACTCGATTTTTGTAAAAGAATTCTACAAGGTCAAATATATAGAAAAAATTACAAAACTGAATTGAAAAAAAATGGAGACTGAGATGAAAGCATAAATTTAGGGGTTATGAGATGACTTGGTGTGTGTAGAGAAGGAGATGAAGTTGTAGTGCACGTGTGCTCCCAAACCCTCATCATCACAGTGTCATGTGCAAAGTCAAATAAAAACTCACTTATCATTATTGATAGCACCAAACATATTTTGAAACCATCGTAATTCAATTGTTTCCATCATTCTATTGCATCTCATCATTTCACCTCCTACTCATCATACCTTCTAACTTTCTTCCCAACGTATGTGTTTTTCTTCATAGCAATCTATTATTTTGCTACCAGATAATTTTTGCAAAATCCTTATCACGTTTAGGTGTTTGTTTTTAAGATATTTTTAGGTATAGATATATAACAAATAATTTGAATATTTAGATCTTTATCCATTTCGGGTTTAGTTCAGTTTATATAATAAAAACCAAAAACTGACTAGTATCCAAAAAAAAATCAGATTCATTTTGTATACGATTTTAGCTTCATCATTGAGTTAATATCCTAACATATACGATTTTAAAAATTTATTTCACACTCACATTAGTTGGCAATATTTAAAGAAGTTGGAAAAATAAAATTTAAAACAACATTATTAAGAGACCCAAAGGAAAGCAAAGGTCAAAATGATTTAGATGGCATAAAGCAGAAGCATTAATTAAAACTTTATACTATACTAGCTTTTTTCTTTTTCTGTATTTAATTAACAAAGACCCAAAACAAAGGTCAAAATAGTCGCAAATCTCAAAGCCCATCTCTTCTTCTTCTTCTTCACTCTCTCTCTCTCTCGTCACCACCACCACTTAACACACTTCCACTGATTCCATCTTCTTCTACTCATCAGAAGAACAAACCTTTCTCTCTACTTCTTGATTCCATACTATCAAACTTCTCTCTTGCTTCTTGTTTGGTTTCCTCCTTTACTCTGTTTCTAGGTTTTACTCAAAATCCAAAAGAATGGGAAGTAAATGGAGGAAGATGAAACTGGCTTTGGGTCTCAATCTCTGCACTTACCTCCCAAGAACCTTAGAAGACTCACCTCCTGCTTTGAACTCCACAGAGAGATTATCAGATGTTGCTCTGCTTTCTCCTCTTAACTGGCCCATGACCCCAACACCGTCCTCTCACGGCCTCAAACTATCCAGAAGCAGCTCTAAAAAATCTTCAAAGGTTTGATTTTTAACTATACCCACTCTCTCAAATCTCTGTTCCCACTTCCTGTAGGAAGTTGACTTTTGGATATGAGTTTGTCTTTTCTTGTCTTTTTTTTTGTTTGTATCTTAATTATATAAATCACTTTGTCATTGAAAGGTTTCAACTTGTGCAAATTTAAATACAGAATCTTGAATTAGATCTTTCCAGTACTTCTGTTTGTAGCTGTAATAAAGGAAGAAACTTGATTATTTCTCTATATCAATAGCTGCTTAAAAGTACTTTACCTTTGGTTATATAGTTAATGGTTAGTTTCTTGTTACAGTGATTGTCTTAAAGCTGAGTACTTTGATTAGTTTCTTTTTCTTTCCAACACTTCTGCTTGTAGCTGTAATAAAGGAGGAAACTTGATTATATTCTCTATCAAAAGCTGGTTAAAAGTAGTTAAATTCGGTTATAGTTAAATTTAGTTTGTTTCTTGTTATAGTGATTGTCTTAAAGATGAGTACTTTGATTAGTTTCTTTGTCTATCTATAAAACATGGGCTCATTGCTTTTTTTGTTTTTTTGTTTTTTTGTTTTTTTGATGAGCAGACATGTTCTATATGCTTGAATAAGATGAAAGAAGGAGGAGGACATGCTCTTTTCACAGCAGAGTGTTCTCACTCTTTCCATTTTCACTGCATTGCTTCAAATGTGAAACATGGGAACCAAGTCTGCCCTGTTTGCCGTGCCAAATGGAAAGAGATCCCTATGCAGCATCCTCCTCCTTATCTCTTTGCAAGACCTTATAACAATGATGCAGCTATCAACCTCCTCCATCGCTTACCTACACCTCCTCGTCGAGTCATGAACCAAGGACGTGTCCAAGCTCCTGAACCTTCTATGTTCAATGACGATGAACGTTTAGAGCAGCAGCTTGTATTCTCCAGGAAGAGCTTGGAGGAGAATGATAATGTAAAGATGATGGAGTTGAAAATATATCCTGAGGTTTCTGCTGTACGACGAGGTGAGTCTCGTGAGAAGTTTGATGTATTGGTGCATCTTAGAGCTGCTGGTATGGTTAATGGAAACGCTCGAGCTCCACTTGATCTTGTCACGGTTCTTGACATCAGTGGTAGTATGGCTGGAACTAAGCTTGCTCTTCTCAAACGAGCAATGGGATTTGTGATTCAGAATCTTGGTTGTAATGATAGGCTTTCTGTTATTGCTTTCTCTTCAACTGCTCGTCGTCTGTTTCCTTTGACTAAGATGTCTGATGCTGGAAGGCAGCGAGCTCTTCAAGCTGTGAACTCATTGGTGGCAAACGGTGGGACTAACATCGCTGAAGGTCTTAGGAAAGGTGTGAAGGTGATGGAAGAGCGAAGAGATCAAAACCCTGTTGGTAGCATTATACTTTTGTCTGATGGGAGAGATACATACACCATGAACAACCAGCCTGATCCTAACTACAAGCTGTTGCTTCCTTTGTCTATGCACGGTTGTGAAAGCAAGAGGTTTCAGATCCCTGTTCATTCTTTTGGTTTTGGTTCAGATCATGATGCTTCGCTGATGCATTCTGTCTCTGAAACCTCTGGAGGAACATTCTCTTTTATAGAGAGTGAAGCTGTGATACAGGACGCTCTTGCACAGTGCATTGGTGGACTCTTGAGTGTAGCAGTGCAGGAGCTAAGGTTAGAGGTTGATGGTATTAGCTCAGATGTTCATCTCAGCTCGATAAAAGCTGGGAGTTACCCTAGCCTTGTGGGTGGTGATGGTAGGTCAGGACGTGTTGACATTGGTGATCTTTACGCTGATGAAGAGAGAGACTTCTTGATTTCTATCAACATCCCAGCTCTAAGAAGTGGAGACGAGACACAGCTTCTGAAGATGAGATGTGTCTATAAAGATCTTTTGACAAAGGAGGTTATGACGCTTCAGAGCCATGTCCTCAAGATTCAAAGACCAGAAACCGTTGGTCAAGAAGAAGCTGTTGTGTCCATAGAAGTGGACAGGCAGAGAAACAGGTTTCTAGCCGCAGAGGCAATGGTGAAGGCAAGAGGTTTAGCAGAGGGAGAAGACTTAGCAGCAGCTGTTACTGTTATCCAAGTGTTTAGACAGGTTTTAGCAGAGACGGTCTCAGCTAAATCCAACGACGCGTTTTGTGTTGCTTTGGATAGAGAGATGAAGGAGATGCAAGAAAGAATGGCGAGTAGACATGTCTACGAGGTATCAGGAAGAGCTTACATTCTCTCTGGACTTAGTTCACACTCATGGCAAAGAGCAACATCAAGAGGGGAATCAGGAGATGGCTCTACCTTTGTGCATGATTATTATCAGACTCCTTCAATGGTTGAGATGCTACACCGATCTCAAGCCACATCATATCATAGACTCGTCCAGCCATTGCTATCGTATGTATCCCAACCAAAGCCAAGGTGAAATGAATGTCAGAAACCAAGGTCTTTAGCTGTAACATGTTCCATCTTTTTTGGGGGGTTTTTGCTCTGTAAAGAAATAAGAAAAAAAAAGCAGGCAAAGTGGTTTTGAAATGTGAATCTAAATTTGGGGCTGTCATGTTTTTTTTTGTATGGTGATTTTGTTTCAACTTCTCATGTAATGTGTATATTATTATTATATGTATGAATTTGGCTATAAAATCTTTGTTCAGAAATTAGATTATATATATATATGTAGTTTCAGTTTTGAAGGGTAATGCAAGCAGTGATAAAAAAATTTTTTGTTCAAGCAGTGATCATGTTTAGATTCCAGTGTGCTTGTTGGATTCCTATTTAGTAGTGACCATATAATTACTATTTAATTGTTAGTATTTTATAATTGTTATGTCACTATTTTACAGTCCATATCAAGTTGTAGAGGACACCTAAAAACTGTTACCATTCATTGTGAACACATTTATCAGGATTACAAACTGTTTTTAGATCCTATTTAACAGTCCATATCACATTGTTGTGGACAACCTAACACCTTTTACTATTTATTGTGAACACATTTATCAGGATTCTACCAAAGGATACGTGACTTTCTGATTTATAGATCACGAGATCAGCAGGGGACTACGATTGCAACGTCTTTCATCGGTTCAAATGAAACCGTTCCACCAAGACTATATAAGATCGAAGTGTGGCTCAAGGCAAGTTTGGGGCATAACCAAAATAAGAAGGAGACGACATGGCAAGAGAGAAACAAGAGACACCACTTAGCCCGGTGGCACAGATGTTCATTTCACCGGGTTTATACAGCGTCATTGTCTTTACATTAGGCTTTAAAACTAGATGCAACCCATCTGTCATTGTTGAAGGTATCAAGAACACATGGATCAAGCTTCCTCGCTTCTCTAGCAAAGTGGTAAACATATTATTTTACATCCCTTAACTCACCAAATGCAAGAGTACTATATCTAACCCTTTCAATGTAATCTAATCTTATATAAATATCATCATGCTGGAGGATTTGGCTTATTTATATAATTCTACAAATTAATTTTTCGTAAATTTAGAAATATTATAAAATATTTTTTTACTATTTCTAAAATGGGTTTATGTAAACAATAACATTTAAAATATTTTATGTAAAAATTAGGTCTCAATAGTATTATAAATTAATAAAATATTAATATAATATATTTAAAATAAATTTTAGGATTTTTAAAAATAAATATTGAATATCCTCTATCAAACATTCTCATTTATAACATGCATAATCAATCATCCATTTGATCATAAATAAAATGTTTCAGGTGATGGATGATAAGAAAAATGGGAAAGCGGTTTGGGTTCCTGTTAGTATTCGAGTAGAAGATCATGTTGTTGTTCCAGACCTTGATCACTCCAACATTGAGAATCCTGATGAATTTATAGAAGAGTATACGTCACACATGGCTAATACTCCAATGGACATGTCCAGACCTTTATGGGAGTTTCATATTCTGAATATAAAAACATCAAATGCAGAATCTTTAGGCATAGGGAAGTTCCATCATTCACTTGGCGATGGTATGTCGCTTATGTCACTTCTGTATGCTAGCTCAAGAAAAACATCAGACCCCGACGCTTTTCCTACTACTGCGACTACAAGAAAACATGTTGAATCCAAGAATAGTTGGTGGTTGGTTGCCAAGTTTTGGTTTATAATAATGGTCTTGTTTACAACTTTTGTTGAAATGTGCAAGTTTCTTGTTACACTATGTTATATGAGGGATACTAAAACTCCTCTTGTGGGTAAGTCCGGAGATGAAATTAAGTCTAGAAAGGTTATCCATCGGATAATAAGCTTTGAGGATGTCAAGTTGGTGAAGAACACAATGAAAATGGTAGATAAATAAGTATTTATAATGATCCATTTTTAATATTTGTTGTTTGTATTATTTTGTTATATTAATAACTTTACAATGTATCTTTCTCGTAGAAGGTCAATGATGTTCTTCTTGGAATGACACAAGCAGGTCTCTCAAAATATTTGAGTAAAAAATATGGTAAGTTCAAATTCCTTAATATACACTTAATCAACAATATCTTCTTTGTTTTTTTTTTTGGCTGAAAATTACAGAATTTTTTTTTTAACAACTGAAAACTACAGTACAGTAGAACCTCTATAAATTAATACTCGATAAATTAATATACATTAAATATCTCTATAAATAATATAATTTTACAGTCTCAAATTAAGTTTTTGGTTCAATTAGTATATCGATAAATTAATATCTCTCTAAATTAATAAAAAAATAAATTTTTGGTGTAATACCAACATTATTAATTTATAGAGATTTCACTGTATTTTAGTAATACTCTATTGACGTTAGTTACAAATATTTGATTTATTTAAAAGACGATAAAAATCCAAGGGCCGGGAATACGAAACAAATATTAGACAAAATCCGTCTTCGTGGTACAGTTGCTGTAAATCTAAGACCAGCTACAAAAGTCGAGGTAAACTATCTGAACTTTATCTTACAAAATATATACAATTAGAATGCAAGAATTTGATTAGACGATGAAACTGTAGGATCTTGCTGATATGATGACAAAAGGATCAAAATGTAGATGGGGAAATTTCATTGGTCTTGTTGTATTTCCTTTATGGATAAGATGCGAGGACGATCCCTTGGAATATGTTAGGAGAGCCAAAACTACTATGGATAAGAAAAAAATCTCCATGGAACCACTTTTATCATATGGGATCGTCAAATTAATCATGAAAGTATTTGGGGAAAAGGTAAATATTTAAAACTAATATCAACTTTCCATCCATATGTATAAGTATGTATATATAAAAAAAACAACTAATTTTTTGTGACAGGTAGTAGAAGCTATTGCTATGAGGATGTTTGGTCATACAACAATGACATTTTCGAATGTGCTCGGTCCAAACGAAGATATAAGTTTTTTTAACCATCCCATGTGTTATATCGCAGCAAGCGCATTATCTGGACCACACGTAAGTTTAACTATAATCATGCCATTACTTGTATTGTTTGGGTTCTTTACATGATGTTTCTATATATGTCGCATCTGTTCTCTTTTTAAAAAAAAATCATATGGAGTTTTTTATTGACAGTAATTTATAACTTGCGTGTGTTTATGTTTGCTCTTGGACTATAGGCTCTTATAATCCATTACGTAAGCTACGTAGACAAGCTTATCATCAATCTAGCTGTCGACACAGCAGTGATTCCAGACCCTCATTTACTATGTGATAATTTGGTAGAGTCACTTAATATCATGAAACTTGCTGCCTTGGAGAAAGGGCTTCCTAAAATGGAGGTCTGAGTTAGGGGTGGGCACGGATCGGATATTCGGGTATTTGTAATAATATACATCTACACAATATCCGGAATTTTCGGATCGAATCGACACAAGATTTGTCTGTCAAAAATGTGGTGAAATGTACTATGTTGATGTTAACTTGGTTTGATCTATGTTTAGTTTGTATTAGTTATTTAGTTATGCTGTCGTATTTTGTTTTTTTTTTTTTGTGTGCTTATGCCTCATATAAGAAAAAACAAATATCAAAAGATGATTACATATGGTATTACTAAATTACGGTAACAATTTAATTAGACAGAAAGTGATTTTATTAGTTGACGAAGCGACAATTTCTGCGAATCTCACCACCTTTATCTCCAAGTGTAAGGACTTTAATGGAACTCATCTTGATCATCGACCTACCAAACTGAGCTAGAAAACTACCGGAGTTTTGGAAAACTCTAGCAATGTTGGCGGCGGAGGGATCAGTCAACAAGGCGGCGTCAGAGGTGAAGAGTCCTTTGTGTTGTAGAAGTGAGACGAAGTATCCACTGTCAAAGGAGAGAGCTCCATTGGGGTCCATTCCGACCACTGCGGAAGAGTTGAGTCTTAAAGATTTGTCGGAGCATTTAGATTTGAGGAAAGTGGCGTAGCTAGAGTTCAGTGAAGGATCTGTATCCCCTTTTCCTGTGAAGTTCAAGAGCCTCCGACCAAACACACCGCAACGTGCTGTTCCTATTGTATGTGCTCCTGTTTCATACAAGTTCTTTTCTTTTTAGTATAAAATAATCTCAGACTTGTGAGAAAAACTATATAGTATATCAGATGATTTACAAGAATATTAATTCAGGGTTGACTAGTTATCACATGTGACGCCTCTTCAAAGATTTCCTCAAATATTTTATGTTCAAAATATACATTCAAACTTTTTATCATATTAGCGATATTATACTTTCTTTTTTTTCTTTTTCTTTTTTTTTGGAACAGCGATATTATACTATTTCTTGAAAATTGGAAGAATTAAATTTGTTGCATTCCTAACATGGACATGCACGTGGTCAGATATATTCTTGCAATTTTATTTCATTGTTCCCTGCTTCGTACTCGGATTCTTATCAGTAACGTATGAATCTTGTGTAGATGTATATTATTAAAAAAATATAATAAGCAGAAAATAAAATGGTCACCTGATAAAGCCACAAGGTCAACGACGTCCAAATCGCTAGCGGCAAAGAGTTTCTGTAAAGCGGTGAAGTTTGCCCCAGCGGATGGTAAGTCTCTGGCAGCTTCCGTCGCCAATGAAACTCTTCCATCAACACGTCCCGTAAAGACATTCCATAACGGCCTTCCAAACTATAACATCAAGTCCATGATTAATTTATCATTTTTCCAAAAATTTAGAAACTCTTGAATTTATAAAGTTTTGTTATGTAACAAATAAGCATCTTTTCTTATATATTCAACAGAGGTTCTTGATTTTGATCAGCAATGCGTTTTCTCAACCACTACACTATTTAAGGTTGATTACCTAGACTGGTTTTGGGCACAACTGGATGAAACATATGCAAACTCTAAATTTTTTTAAAAAAACTATTGTATATAAGTTACATGACCCTCAAACTGTTAAAAGTTTTCTTCATTAAAATTAATCTAAAAATGTTTATGGCTTTTTAATCTAAATCATAGATCCGGCCATGTTGATTAGTAAACGAAATTATGATAAAGAGGGGTTAGTTTAGTATATTACTTTGTACGAGACAGCATCTCGGGTGGCTAGGGTGAGTATGTCTGCGCATGAGACGGTCTTGGGGCATCGTTTTTCAAGAACGGACTTGATCTCATCGATGATTTCAAACCCTGAAAGCGACAGATTAGGTCTCGCCTCCTTCTCAGACGCAGGTTTTCCAACCACCGAATCTAAAAGCAGTGATGCATCGCACCCCTAAACCCTAAACCCTAAACCCTAAACCCTAAACATCATCAACGGATCCACATTAGACTTTTAGTATGTTCAGGATAAACGTTTAAAAGCAATATATTAGATCCGTTCATAATTATTATTAAGAATATAGCATTACCACATACCCTAACAAAACAGTCGTGGTAATGAACCCTTAGTAACTTGGCAGCCAAGCTAGGGTTTGCTTTGACTTTCTTTGACACAATCTCTCTCACGATATCCTCGGCCTTAGGACAGGTCTTGTGATAGAATTTCATCTTTAGCTTACCCTCCCATCTTCCCCTTCTCATCTTATGGCCGTTGTTATGACCATCCTTGTGACCGACTCTTTTACCATCAACACAAAGTACCACGACAGCCAAAAACAAAACAAGAGAAAATAGAAACCGGTTCGCTACAATCTGTTGATTCTTAGCCATGACTTGATTCCAGCTTTTTTATGTTTGCTTAGAATTATATGTATTTGAGGAATTCCCTTGGCTGTGTTACTTTATATAGTGAAGTCGAGGCTCCATACTCCATTTGCTCATTGTTTTTGTTTTTAAAAGGAATTGAATAATTGATACCTAATTATCAAAACAGAGTTCCATGAATGTGCTAAGAGAATGAAGGATTAATTATCAAGTTACAAGTCAACAGAATTAGAAAAATATATAGTTCCAACTAATCATTTAGCTTCATTAGCTGAACTATAACGTGAACATCCATAATCCAAATATTATGCATTCCACTGCTGTCTGCAGGCAGGGACAAAGTGCGATCTAAAAGGTAATGTGACAAAATAGTATTTTAAATAACTTAATCCATTATACCCAACGTATCTCTCTATGAAGAAAACCAATATTATCTATAACATTTAGTTTATCATTGACTATGAATATTATTTTTCCAAGAAGGAAGAACAGCAAAAGTTACAATAGTGAGCATATAATCCAAAATATACTCGGAGTTAGAACTAAACATAAAAAAATGATTCACATTGGTCGATTCCAAGTTTAAACATTACTTGGATACTCCAAGAAATTGAGCAAAGCTTGGATACTTAGGCTCCCATCCTATCTCAGCTCTTGTCCTTGAGTTGTTCAGCTTCTTCCCTAAAGGACCACTGGTGCCTACAAAAATCAAAACTCATCAAACTCTAATATGAAGCTTCAAGACAAACCAACATGTGACAATCAATGACTGGAAAGAAACTCACTTGTGAAACCTTTGAACTTCTTATCGTATTTTCCACTTTGAGCCATCAGGTCCATCACCTCTTGCCTGAGAAGAATGCGAGAGGTTAAACACGTTGTCTTAAACTTAGAAAGAAAGCAGTTTCTACTACCTTGACAAAGGACTGTTGTCACAGGCCAAGAAAATCCGACCACCAGCTTTCTTCTTCATGATTGCAACTGCTAGTGAAGCTGCATCCTGTTCAGAAACACATTTACAGAATGAGATAGTCTTATTATTACAAACAAAGGAACGAGCAGAACCACATATATACCTCGTAGTGGATGAGATTTAGGATATGATCAGGACGAGCATCGACTGTCTCCTTATTCAACCAGTAATTATGTGCACCTCTAGTCTCTGTGTATACAAAGTTCAGGAGATACATAATTGATAATACTCAAATCTACTATAGACAAGAGAAAAAAAAGATCCTTTCATTATTAGCTCGTTGAGCTCAAAAAGGATATGTAAAGCCCTGCAAGTCTGAGGACAGTCCCTCCACTTTCCAGCACTACTTGTTCAGCTTTCAAAAGCACATCGGTTCTTGGGCTCTTTCCTAGTGGCACTTGTGGAGAATCCTGCAGTCAAGGGGAATCCAGTTAATAAAATGCTTAAAGCAGTGTCCTCTCTCGGATGTTAAATGTATTCAGGAACTGAGATAAACCTCGTTGCATTCTCCATTATCAAAGCAATCAAAAGGTGCAGAACTAGATGTGAATAAGAATGATCCTTCACCATTCCACTTTGATGCTGCCGTCCTGATCCGTTTGTACACAAACACAGACACATATTAGACATGCTTGAAGCCCTTAATTAGTACCGAAACTTAACTCACGGTATTAGAAGAAAGGCGTTGAAAACAAGTGATTTTCTTGTAATTTTACCTGAGTTCAGCGGCGTAATCTGGACTTTGTGATGGAGGAGCACAAAAGATGACATAGGAGAACTTGCCATCAAATTCAGTTCCTTTAAGACATGGTTTGATACCCAACTTCTCCAACTCATCATGATGGTTTGGTGTTACTGTCTGCCCAATAATTTGACAATCTGGATGTTCCTGCTTCACATACACATAAAGCTCAAACTCTTAACTTCCACATTATAAAATTGACTCTTATTTATCATAAACGTTGTGAAAAGGAAAAGAAGTAGTCAATAGACACAACATAGTTGATAAAAACACTCAAGAGTCAAGACACATAAAACATGGAGTTACCGGACATAAAAGTCTGTTTGATTGGTACAACACAGTGGTTTACTGAATAAATTAAAACAGAAAGTTATACCTCTCTCCATTTTTCTGCAACTAACCGTCCAAGAACACCTGGTCCAACAATCAGCAAATCGTTTGCCCCAATTGATACATGAGACTGGACCTTCAAGCCATCACTGGTCTCACCTTCAGACAAACAAATATAACCCAATACAAGGGCACAAAAACATATAAAACGGTCACCACTTGGAGAGACAGAATAACAGAACCTTATTTTTTACCAATTACTGTTTAATTAACTCTACTCAGAGATTAACAAGTTGTGTATAAACCATCCAAAACATTATAAAAGTCAACGAAAGGTTTACTTATCCTTACAACTGGAAAAAGCCGAAAACAAAACAGGGAAGAAGCAGAGAGTAAGAATACCAATGGTGGAGGAGGAAGAAGAGGCTTGAATAGGAGTAGCCATCATCGAAGACGTTGTTGATAGTGACAACAAGGAACTGGGTTTATCCACGCGTCTTAAAGCAAACTTTTTTGAATACAAAGATGCTAAAGTCGATTCCTTTGAGAAAAGGGTCGATGGAATTCTCGAACAGATGGTCGGAAGTGAGATGCAAGAGATGAAACCCATCAAGAGACAGAAACAAAGAAACAAGCTTTGCTTTTGACGAAGAGGATTGAGTTGGTGAATGGATGCTCTTTGAATGTTTGTAACCAATGGCGTATTCACATGTCACAGATATTATATATATTACTAGAAATATATCAAGTTTTATTCTGTTTCTTTGTCCGTTATGAACACAAAAACGAAAACTTTACTTCCATTATATCTTAATGTTACAGAGGAAATGAAGTTGTATCATCATAACTTGTGACATCTGCTTTGATAATAATAAGAGTTAATGCTTTCTACTACACTTTCATAAGACTAAGGGAAACTAAAAAGCCTTCACATGAGCTCTGCTTCTTCAGTGTCTCCATCAACATCTTCAACATCGTTCTCGTCATTCTCATCAGCTGCATCCGGGTCTATTCCCTGCAATCAATACCCCCACAAAGCTTGTAACGCACTAAAAAGATTATAAAGAGTATGGATTTAGCTAAATGTTTGTTGACCGACCTTCATCTGTTTCTCCAAGCGATCTAGTCCCTTTTTGGCTGCCTCATTCTGTGGATTTATCCTGCATTTTTTTACAATGTTAACAAAGACAGTTATGCACTATTGGTTTAGAATCTTATATATACCTTAATGCAGCTTGATAGTGTGATAAAGCATCTTGTAGCATATTCGTTGCAGCAAACACTTGAGCTAGCTTGACATGGAGAGATTCATCAGCCCAGTCTTTTAGATACCGTTCAAGTAGTGATACAGCATCTCCATTCCTCCCTTCCATTAGATGTAGGTCAGCTAAAGCTATGGCTGCTCCAAGGTATCCAGGTTCAAGCCTCAGAGCTGACTCATAGAATTTTTTCGCCTGTTCTAGAAGCATATCATTAGTCTTCCACCAAAAACGTCTATCCAAAACAAAAACATCATAAGAAGATTGACAACCTCCATCCAAAGCATAATAAGTTTTTTACCTTTTCCCTGCCACTTGATGTATTAGCATGAACATCACCAACTAATTTCAGAGCCTTTGCAGACTGAGGCATTGCATTCATTGCTTCTCTAGCGGTATACAATGCTTCTTTGGTTTTGCCAAATGCCAGATAAGATTGGACTAATCCTGAAATGACCTCAACAGTGTAAGTTAGTTCAACCTCCGACCTTTTCGTACTTGCTCAATAGTACAACAAAGGAAGTTTAATATCAGTTTTTTCCTCGTCAACCAGACCTTGATATGAACGAAGATCAGACCTCAAATTCTGAGCAGCCCTGAAGGCAATCGCTGCAGCTTCTGGTCGTTTTGCTAGTAAAAGGAAGTTTCCCTGAAACATAGAATAAGATAGTGGATATACACAAAACGTTTTTACAAAATTAAAAAAAAAAAAATCCTCCTTAAACCAGCGTACCTTCACTATGTAGCCGGGTATGTGCCTCTCATCAACCCTGATACTCTGATTGCAAAGTGAAACTAATCAGATATCACACAAAGATTTGGCAAAAAGTTTCAGTTGCAGCAAAGCTAACCTTCTCAGCATAAGACAATGCCGTCCTTGGATCTTTCCTTTCCCATAGTACAGACAAAGCTACAAATACTTCTGCTCTGGTATGATCAATACTTAATAAATCGTGGACGAGCTTGTTTAGCCTGGAATAATCGCACTTCATCTGTAGCAGCATCGCATACTCATCCATGCAGGTAAGTGTATAAGGATCAATTGATCGAACCTACAAAAGCTTCTATATTATGCACATTCCTTAGATGTTTTCTAAAAAGTTGAAACAATAATGTTGATGCGGTGACTACCTTCTCAAATCTCATTATGGCCTCATCATTTTTCCCAATAATGGCTTCAACCTATGCAAATGAAATAGATGATGGAAGATGTCATCAACTACCCAAATTATGTTAATCAGCTTTATGCAAAACATCAGTCAGCTCTAACCTTTGCCATCTCAGTCAACAAGTGTACGTTATTTGGAAATCGTTGTAAAAGTTCAGCAAAGAGTTCCAGCGCCCCTGAGGAAACACAAAAACACTATCTGATTAATCATTGCAGCATGCCGCAAATTAAATGTAAGAAATGAATCTACAGGTTTAAACACAAAGATTCAGAAGCAATATCTCATGAGCTGTAGACATGTGCATTCCAAAAGGAAATAGAGAGCTACCTTTGTAAGCATGTGAAGCAACACAACACTGGGCCTCGACATATCGCTGTGAAAACGAAGAACATTACAGAAGAAGAGAAGGAAGAAAATAAATTTATTGCCAGATAGGATACAAGACGAAACCAACGAAACAGCCAGCCAAAAAAGGCATTCAAAATATTATGATGCTGGTTGAATAGTCCAGATGATGCTAACAAAAGAAAATAAAAGCACTAGTTCATCCAAGCAAATGCTATTAGGATGATTATACTCACTTTCTAGTCATGAACATTGAAAAGCTTTTCCCTATGTACAGAATGTATAGTTTATTAAATTTGGCGTTCACCTCATCTTTGGTGACAAAAATCTTAGAGCCATTACATTTAAAGTCGACGTCCGGAGAACATAACAGATTATAAGACACTAACTCACTCACCAACTCACAATAATCAGCTTGGACACATGATTTATGAGTTTCGTTTCAAACAGGTTTCCATTTTGGTAAATACTGTTAAAGAGTAATCTTACCTGTAACCAACGGGTAGGATCAATCTGATCAAGCGAAACTTTTGTACTTCTACTTGAAGCCTGAAATGACCAACGACATAGCAAGTTACAAAGTAGTATGGATTTTACACGGAAAAGGTAATTGCAAATTAAGGAGAAAGACATGCAAAATCAAATTTGAAATAAGCGGTTAAAAATAGAAGAAATCTCGTAGAAAGGGACAACACCTGAGTAAAAGCTGATATGATATCCTTTGCAGTGGCTCCAAGTTCAGCTAATCCTATGATGGCTTCGAGTACATAAGGACATTGCCTGCAGAGATTGAAGGTTTAAATCTGTATACATATAAAGATGCAATATGTATTGAATTGGTATATATGACAGTGTTTTTATGCTATGGAATGTTGGGAAAGAAAATGAGAAACAGACCTTAAGCACTCTTTATAAAAAGCAATAGCACCACGGTTATATCCAGAACTTCGATGAAGCTTTGCCATCAGTACATTCATCTCCAAGCTTCTTGTCTTGACAGATTCCATCTAGCAAGGAAAGAAGAAAAAGTGAAAAAAAAAAAAGTTTAACTAAGCTAACCATAGTTTATCATCCCTAAATACCCACAAGCAGTATTGGAAGCAAATAATCATTTAGTTTCACATTTTTATTAAACACGGATTTGCATTAATTGGTGACAAGAGAAGGCTAAGGCCTAATAATGTTTCTTTGAAGAAAACTAGCCATCCTATACGAAACTAAAATATAATGTGAGAAGCAGAGAGATCCTTTAACAGCTCCATTTCCTGTCTCTCATACACATATTTGCTTTTCTATGTACCAGTATTTGGTTCAAGAAGACAAAACAAACCTCGCTAACCATACAAAAATATGAACAAAGACAGAAGAGACATACCTCAGCGATCGCAGCTTTGGTTTCCCCAAGAGCAAAGTGAGATGAAGCAATCTTAAACCTCACCTAACAGAAAAGATAAAACAAACATGAGCTCCTATGGAAACTGTATCAAATCAACAAAAACACTAAACTTACCTCACTCTCATTAATAGCAGAGACACTAGAAGCATTCAGAGACGATCTAGTAGACAAAGATAACGAACTCCTAGAAATACCAGAGCTTTGCTTCGGAGCCCTCGCACAATGATGCAACGCTTGCTTATACGTATGCTAACAAACAAAACAAAACAAAAACACAAAAGTTCGTTACTTTACATTAACTACTTGAAAACATAAAAGCTAATTCAGTCTTACAATAGCTCTACGATACTCTCTCTGATGAAACAAAGCATCTCCAAGTAGAATCTGATCAAAAGAATCAAACTTTCAATCAGTAACCAAAGAAAAAAATTACAAATTTATCGACGGAGGTTAACCAAAGTTTCCGCCTTTAGATGAGGACTAGCTTCAGCGCTGACAGTAGAAGACGAAACGAGGAAGCAGCCCTGAGAAATTTTATGAGATGAAAGTTAGGGATTTAGAAGAAGAAAGAGGGAGAGTTAGAAGGGGTTTAGAGAAGCTTACGAGCATTTCGGCTGAGTCGTAGAGACCATGCTCCATTAGAGTAGCGATCTGGTCCTTTGGAATATCCATGGGAGAGAGAGAGAGCTTGTGAGGGTTCAGTGGCAATGGAGACGATGAAGAAAGGGAAGGGATGGGATCCTTCACGCTCGCTTCTTCAATTTTGAAACAAAAGGAATCTCGTAATCGAACCGGAATTAACCGGTTATCTAACTCGGTTCATTAGAATTTAATCAAGTCGGTTCGTTGATTTAAGTCTTTTTTTTGATACGACGTCGGTTGTTGATGTAACGCGCTCTTTTTTTTGTTCACAAAAAAAAAGCAATCTCGTAATTGAACGGGAATCAACCGGTTATTTAACTCGGGTCATTAGAAGCTAATCAGGTCGGTTCGTTGGTTTAAGTGTTTTTTTTTGGATACGACTCGCTTGTTGTGGTAAAACGCGCTCCTCCTTTTTTGGGGAAAATGTAAAGAAGTCACTCTATTGAAAGGATGGCGGTGGTGTTTACTCGCGCATAACGAGAGTGGGCAAGTGTAAAAAATAGGTTTTGGACAATAGATTTAATTTTTTTTGAAAAAATTGTTTCATATAAATGATTATATCAACAAAATGCACAAGTTAGAAACTTTACTTGAAGTTTTGAACATTTTAAAATTTCAAATTGTCTTGCTCTAGGAACAATGTTGCTATTCACTTAGATATCAAATAACAGATTTTAGAAACGGTGCCGTATTGTTAAATGAACACATTCTGCATGTAGCGATCGACTTTTGTTTCCTCAACCAATTGAATCATTTGTGCTTTACTTTATAACATAATCCAAATTTGGTTGGTTTTGAGATCAAATGAGAATCTACTTTAAGATAACGACAAAAAAAGGGATATACAAGTAGTTATCTAAGGTATGAGAATCTTCTAGAATGATACATAGTTATCCTAAACAAGGATGAGACTGTTGCCTTGGAAGTTCAGTTCCTGCCAGTTAAGACAAAAAATGTAAGCTTTAGGTGTGTGGGTTTACTTATTTTAAAGTTGGTACGTCTCTTCTTAATTAGATGACTGACACTTAACTCTTTCCTTCCATTATTTGAAAGAAAACTTTTAACTAAATGTATGTCTCTTTCTCTAGTAATCCAACTTCTCACCCTCAAAGTTCTGATATCCAATGCTTTTTTACTCACCTCATCAAGAACCACCTATTCAAACAACATTTAATTAATAAGGTAAAACATTTTGAGTTAGGATTGACTAAAATTATTTATATTAAATGATGTTATCCAAATATGAGTGCGTGTGTGACTTGTCGACTTGTAGTTTTAGAACTCGTCAAACACATTTTTGCTTGAGATAAGATCATCTTACAACTCGTATGTTACAGGGAAGCTTGTTTGAAGTAGTAGAAGAAAGTAACGCAAAATTCATTAATGGCTCCAGCCAGAGATAAAGCCGGTGAGTAAAATAACAAAAATATGTATTTTCTTATGAAAGAAAACGTGTTCAGTCTATTAAACAGTAAGCAAGGAAGAGGCTGAAAACAAGATTAAGAAAAGAATATAAAGAAAAACGTCTAAGGGTTGGTAAGCGGCAAAAAAATCCAGCTGCCAATGCCTATTTGACTTACTCATTAAGATCATGCTGAGCTCGTCTTCTTCTACATTCTTTTTTCTCTCTCTCCAAAAGGTATTATGCTTTAAAGATCTCTCAGTCATGATCATGAACATGGGCAAACCTCATCACAACATGAATAACTCTACACCAGGTTTCTTTCTCAACATTATTACCATATTTCTACTTTTTCTTGAATATATTGCTAAAAATGTTTACACCCCAAAAACAAAATGCTAAATGTCTTCCAAGAAATGCCAATATATTGTGTGAGAGATGGATATTTGACTTGTATTTGATTTGAAATTTTCATTGTTAAATCATCTCTAATCTTGTGTTTTTGTTTCTTTGGGGTATTTTTTATATAGTGAGGCGTTTGGTTTCTTCAAAGGCAATGAAATGTTTCTACTTCAACAAAGAAAAGTCTCATGATGAAGCAGCTAAGGCTAGAAAGTTTGATTCATTGCAAGGATCAGGGTCTGAGTTTAACTCATCTACAAGTACAACAACTTCCATCACTTCTTCCTTACACGTCCTCTCTGAGACACACAGTAACAATCTCAAAGTCTTTGCCCTTGATGACCTCAAAACCGCTACCAATAATTTCAGCCGGTCTTTGATGATCGGTGAAGGTGGCTTTGGTGGTGTGTTTCGTGGCATCATTCAGAACCCTCAAAATTCTCGTAAAAAGATTGATATTGCTGTTAAACAACTTAGTAGAAGAGGTCTACAGGCAAGTAAAACTCTTCTCTCTTGCATAAGTTTGGTTTGAATATTTTAACACGTTTTGGCACATATGTAATGACAGGGGCATAAAGAATGGGTGACAGAAGTAAATGTGTTGGGAGTAGTGGAACATCCTAATCTGGTGAAGCTGATTGGTTACTGCGCAGAGGATGATGAGAGAGGGATCCAACGACTACTAGTTTATGAATACATACCAAACAGAAGCGTCCAAGACCATTTATCTAATCGTCTTATTGTCACTCCTCTCCCTTGGTCCACTAGAATTAAGATTGCTCAAGACACTGCTCGTGGACTCGCTTATCTTCATCAAGGCATGGAGTTTCAGGTCTCTTTTGACATACCATGATCACACATTAAAATAACTTTAAACCATTCTTGTATGTGTTCTTGAAATGTGTACAATCATGCAGATAATCTTTAGGGACTTCAAATCGTCCAACATTCTTCTTGATGAGAATTGGAATGCTAAGCTCTCTGACTTTGGACTGGCTCGTCTGGGACCTTCCAAGGGAGTCACTCATGTCTCCACAGAAGTAAGAACAGCCTCACTAGTTACAACGCCGGTCCTGAGTTTTTAGAGATCCCATACAAAAAAAAAAAAATAATCACTAAAGTATATTAAATTTTATTTATGTAAAATTTTATTTATCATAATAGTTATACATTTTATAAAAACAAAAAAACTAACTGGAAGAATTTCTACAAAATATTTACACGTTACATAGTTTAATTAGTTTATTTGTATGAATTTTTTTTATTAAGTGTATTTTATAATTTTTTTAAAAACTAAATATGCAAAAAAAAAATATAGATTTTAGGATTAGTAAAAATTGCATTAGTACGATAAATGTATTTAGGATTAGAAAAACCGTCAAATAGGATATATGTTTTAGGATTAGAAAACCGCATGAAAATTGCATTAGTGCATTAGTAAAAATTGCATTAGTACTATATATGTTTTAGGATTAGAAAAACCGCCAAATAAGATATATGTTTTAAGATTAGAAAAACCGCATGAAGATTGCATTAGTGCACCAGTAAAAATTGCATGAGTACTATATATGTTTTAGGATTAGAAAAACCACCAAATAAGATATATGTTTTAGGATTAGAAAAACCGCATGAAAATTGCATTAGTGCACCAGTAAAAATTTGCATTAGTACGATATATGTTTTAGGATTAGTAAAACAGCCAAATAAGAAAAATAATTATTGTAAATTATTTATTTACATAATCAATGTATAAACTCTAAAACGGGTAATTACCTCATCTCTTTTTGTTTTCTTTGTGTGTGTTCCACAAGGTTGTTGGAACCATTGGTTATGCAGCACCAGAGTACATACAAACGGGCCACCTCACTGCCAAAAGCGACGTGTGGAGCTACGGAATCTTTCTCTACGAGCTCATCACAGGGAGACGTCCCTTCGACAGAAACCGTCCAAGAAACGAGCAAAACATCTTGGAGTGGATCAAACCTCACTTGACTGATNTGTGTTCCACAAGGTTGTTGGAACCATTGGTTATGCAGCACCAGAGTACATACAAACGGGCCACCTCACTGCCAAAAGCGACGTGTGGAGCTACGGAATCTTTCTCTACGAGCTCATCACAGGGAGACGTCCCTTCGACAGAAACCGTCCAAGAAACGAGCAAAACATCTTGGAGTGGATCAAACCTCACTTGACTGATATCAAGAAGTTCAAGATGATCATCGACCCAAGACTTGAAGGAAACTACTACCTCAAGTCGGCTTTGAAGCTGGCTGCTGTTGCTAACATGTGTTTGATGGTGAAAGCAAAGTTAAGACCAACGATGAGTGAGGTTTCAGAGATGTTAGAGAGGATAGTAGAGACTTCAGAAGAGGTTTCTTCCGCTCTGCCATTGGTGAAAAGCTTGACGCCTAAAGATGCGTTGGCGGCTTCAAGGAGAGAAAGAGTTAAGAAAAGATTTGTTGAACTTGTAACTGGGGTTAATGGTTGTCCTAATCTGCCTACTTGGTCTCCTAAACTTGTCACTTCTCTTTGAGTTTTGAGACAGAACATAAACAAACAAACAAACAAACAACAACTTAGCGTTTGTGTGATTGTGTTATGAATATATTATTGTCATTATTTGTATTGCCTCAGAAGGTTCAAAAGGCCATTCACCAATCTTTTACTTGTACAGCTAATCTAATAGAGGCTTATTACAGAGACCAAGCCAGTGTTGATGAAAAAATTCAGAGTTGATTCTTAATAGTAGAGGAGTAGTTATAGGATTTTGAATGAAAGGATTATATAGAGAAAGATTTGGGTTTTTTCATTGCTGAACTTTTATTAATCAAATACATCATAAATAGATTTGTTTCAAACCAGTCTAAAGATGCAGATCATCATCACTCAGAATGTTACAATAGAAAGAAAAAAAAACTGTGAATGCAAGAATGAGTTTGCTATATGAAAACAAAATGGGGTATAAGATTTTTGTATAAAAATAAAAAAGAGATTCATGTTCCGATGCTCAGTTTCTGAATGATCTTGGAGAGAGCTGAATATGAGCCAACGACGGAAGATATGGCTCCTACTATGATGATTAAAACACACAGCAGCATCTACAAAAAACAAACCAAAAACCATTTGTCAGTGATGTTTAAAACAATGTTTTTATGTTAAACTGATATATAAATACAGAACTGCTAAGAAACATTACCTGTGTCCGGGTAACTTTTCCCCGTACAATGCTCAAGAAACAAACTGGTGGAAGTATTAGCGTCTGCACAAAACGAAATATGAACTTACATATCTAAAAATAGTGTCAGGTTATATTGTAGACAAGGAAAAGATATCTTACAACGAGCATTGTCAACAAGGATCCAATCAATGACATGACAAGACCTGCAAGATTTTGAGTGTTCACTAATAGCAAAAAAAAGGTATGATGGTTTGAAGAAAATGAGCATTGCATCAAAGATCTTACCAAAGAAGGGGATTGAAAGACCGACAAGCAGAGTTGAGAAGACCAATGCGGTTCTAATGCCAATGGCGTACCAATGTGACTTGTTATGTCTCTCTGGTATCAATTCCTCAAGACTCAGTGCTACTGGAGATATGGTCAAAGCATATGTGCTTTCTTTTGTTAAGGTGACACACAAAGATAGATTTATTCAAGTTAAAACAGTAAAAGAAAACTATTTTCTGAGTATTATTTATTGGAAAGGATATTTTGTAAATGGGTTCACCACCTGTGAAAATAGACAAAACAAACCGGTTTTAGTTCCTGTGTGATCATAACCAACATGTAATCAGTAGTGTGATGAAAACATGTTTGTTCTACTTACAGTAGTCCACACAGCAATCTTAGTTGCAACCAAATCTTGAGGCAAGTTGAGAGTAAACTGTGATTCTGTTGCTTCTCCAAACATTGTGTAACCCATAACAGCAACACCGGCATACATCAGTGTACAAATACCAAAGCTGCAAAAACATTATCAGATCATTGTGGTATTAAAATGCTTGCATATGTGATATACAATGGATTGTGGTTGCCATACGTGTTAGAGATGTCGAGGAAGGTATCATAAGCTTACCATGTCAAGAGAACAGCAGGGTATTGAGTTGGTTTTGCCATAGAAGTATAAATATTGGGGAAAACAGCATGTCCTGAGTAGCAGTAACCATATAGCCCTATAGCTACTGGTAATGTTGACAAGTTAAGTGTAGTTCCTTTGCTGTGGATTCCAACTTCATCCACCAACCCAATCCAAAATAAACACAAAACCACTAGCACCGATGCAATCACCCCTCCAGCTGAAAAATTAACAAAAATAGTCAATGTTAGGAACATTTCTAGACTTATGTTTAATGTATATCTTAAGTTAAGAGGGTAAAAAAAACAAAAGTACACCTGAGATATAACTCAGTACACTGAGATCTCTGAGCCAGACGGTGGGGAGAACAGCGAGTGTAGTTAGCAATGCAAATAGATGGCGTGCATCTAACTCAAATCCTCCAATACCGAAGGCAGCATTTGGAAATAATGAAGTCAAATTATCACTCTCCAATATTATATATTCAACACAGCACGCCTGCAACAAAATATACAATCATGTCGAACTCTGCAGATGTTCAAGATTATGTATACTCACTTCTATTGAAGTTTTACATTTGAATTAAACGAGACACCTTTTGGTGCAACAAAAGATTAAGAAACAAAGAACCTAGTATTGTCTGAGAAGGTGTCTCAATAAGTTACGTCTAAACTAAACTGTCAGAAGATTCACTATTCAACTAATCATTTCACATTAGTAGTAGTAGCAAATAACAAGCTTTTTAGGGACCATTCAATCTAAAAATATAAGTATATCTTTGCTGGTTTAGTGATGTGAAAAAGCAACTTTAAAAGGGAACAAATAGAAACACAGAGAAAGGTAAAAAGGAGGTTCACCAAATCTAGAATGAACTAATGTGAGAATCTATGGGGGCCCTATGCCAACTTGTTTCACAACATGGGGCCATGGATTCTACATACTTCAAGATCTCTTCTGTTGTGTTTTTTAACACTTGGAATCTCTTTAATCATGTACTTTTTCTTGATAAAAAGAGTTAATAAAGTGTTGTTCATTGGATGAATGGAAAAGATACTTACGTATAGCTCCAAGTAGAGTACTATCTGCAATATACACAAAAAAAAAGGAGGAAATTAATTAAAATGAAATGAAAATAATGTTATCAGATTCCACTACTAATGGTGGTAAGCTACCAAATAATCTCAACCTTTTCTAAACTATAATATAATTTTCACTACAAAGAAGAGTAGTGTCTCCACTAAGCACATATTTGTAATATTCTACTGCTATAAAGGTGAATTCAAACCCTTACCGAGACAAAGATACGTCCGGTGGTACCAAACGCAGCTTGGCCAATGTCAGGATAGGTCTCAAGATCAGACTCACTGTCAAGGCAGTAACGCAGGAGTATACCAGTGTAGAAAGAAAGCAGACCATATATAAACAGTATTATTAGTCCCAACCATCCTCCTTCTTTAGCAGCATAAGGCGTTGAAAGTATTCCAACTCCACATAGAACGTTCAATCCTGCACATTCCCCCACATGTTATATGATGATGATCATCATAAAATTGACTAAAGAGTAAAAGATAAACAATCTAGATGTGTTTGGTCTAATCAGTTTTGTTCATGTGCTTCCATGTGCTATATGACAATAGAGTAGATTGTTATTTTGTCTTTTTTCTCTCATATTATAATAGATAAATGTCTTCAAGACAAAGAAGCGGTATTAGACCCATACACACATATCAGAATATGAAAGAATATTCTAATACACATCCTAGATTCTTGTACTGACGATCTAACAACAGATAAAGGTTGATAACTTTTCATTATCATTTGCTCTCACATGTTACTACTACTACTATCATCAAACCAAGTATATTTTTGACTTTTTAAACTACATAAAGTATTAGTGATGGGCCTAACTCACACCCAAAAGCTAGCTCAAGAGTGGAGGATTGCCCATACACATATATATTACCCAAGAATCATTCATATAAACGATGTAGGACATCTAATATAAAGCAATATGGTAAGAAAAAAGCTCACCATTTAGAACAGCTTGTCCATATGAGCTATTGCTGGCCATTGGAATCTCATGAGAGACCATGGATACTTTCTCGTCCTTCCGCATTGAACCTCTCCTAGAAGGAGCAGGAGAGAGCAAGCCATGAGAGCTAAGTCTGTGTTTTGGTGGTGGTGGTAATGCTTGTTCATCTGCTTCAAGCAGAGGCTTTGTAACAGAAGCTAAAGATTCAGGAGTATGTCTCCTTATCAACGAAGAAGACAAGAAAGAGCTTCCAAATCTCGTCACCGAGTTATTCGCAAGAAAACCAATATTGGGAGATGGTACACTACTGTAAAGATCAATGGACTGCCTACAAACATTACCAAGAACACACAAACGTGGACCAAATTGAGTTAAAACAAAACTTCTTGGCCATATCATAAATAAATGAAAATAAAGGGGTTAGAGATAGGACCTGTAACTCTGTGGCCAAGCTGTAGAGTATGAGCTTGGTTTAGTTATCTGACTATCATCATTAACATCGGAGGAATCAGAATGGCTTTGATCATCATCATCTTCTTCTTCTCCTTCATCGGAATCTTTTTTATAGTCTTCATCTTCGCTCTCAATGTAGAAGCTCTGTTCAGATTGTACGTGATTCATCTTTCTTTAGAGATCTAACCTCTAAAGTCAACAGTCTCTGTTTCTTTGTAAAAACAGGATTCTTCTTGTAATGAAAATTCGTGTTCATTACATAATAAGTCACCAGATCAAGAAAACAGACAGAACATAAACACATCGGTAAGATTGTCGGAATATCAAAACAAAAAAAGATTAATGAGAATTGTGTTATTCGTAGACTGTTGGTGTTACCTGGAGGTTTTTGCGTAAGGAAGCAAACAATGATGAACTTCTTCGTGTATCAGAGAGATAGAAAGCTATGGAGGATATATATTAGGAAGATAAGGATGACTTCCTTATAGATAATGATAGAGTTATGTTTATCTCCTACTTTATAGTAACTTAGGAGCTATCGTTGGTATGTTCTCTCTTGTATAAATATGCTCCTCATTGATCATTAATAAGACAAGTTGTTCTTGGTATCCAATTCTACATGGTATCAGAGCAATTCTGCTAAACACAAAATTTTTTTTTTTTTTTTTTAGTCTCAGGGCGAGAAAAGCCGAGACAAACACACGTGTTGTGTATACCTAATTCACGATGGAAGTAGCCGTCGTCTCTCCTTATACTTTATCTCGCAACGATAATCCAGGCGCACTTATTACTTCTGTCCTTCTCAATGGTGACAACTACAACGAATGGTCCATCGAGTTGCTCAACGCGCTTCAGGCCAAGCGCAAAATAGGCTTCATCAAAGGCACTATTGTGAAACCTGCGACTGATCATCCTGATTATGATAATTGGATGACAGTTAACTCCATGATTATAGGTTGGATTCGAGTTTCCATC